GAACCCCCCAGCCACCCCTCCACGCCCACCTCCCAGTACCGCTGCCGTCCGCCGAGTGGATGTGCGTCCCCTGCCGGCCTCACCTGCGCAGCCCTGCCCATCACCGGACACTGCCGCCTCCAGTCCAGCCCGGCCCCCGGGTTTGCAGCGCTCTAAGTCAGACCTGAGTGAGCGCTTTTCGCGGGCAGCGGCCGACCTGGAGCGATTTTTTAACTTCTGCGGCCTGGACCCAGAGGAGGCACGGGGGTTGGGTGTGGCCCACCTGGCACGAGCCAGCTCAGACATAGTGTCTCTGGCGGGGCCCAGTGCTGGGCCAGGTAGCTCCGAGGGGGGCTGCTCCCACCGCAGCTCCGCCACTATTGAGGAGCGGGCCCGGGAGCGCGTCCCCTATGGCGTGTCCGTGATTGAGCGCAATGCCCGTGTGATCAAGTGGCTGTACGGGTTGCGGCAAGCGCGGGAGACTCCAGCGGTGGAGGGATAGGTCTCCACTGGACTCGCATTCGGCACAGGACAGAGCTGAAAGAGGCAGCTGGCCCCTTGAGCTCTCCTTCACCCTTCTCTGGTTGGGGCAGACCGGAGACCACTGCCTTTGGTGAACTTGGCATGGAGGCAAAGGCTCCGACGCTGGGCCAGCATCCGTCTGGCAAGGACTGGCCCTGGAGAGAGTGACCTCTTGACTTGGAACACTCCCTCCTCCTCAACTGTCGGGATTTTGCCATCAGTGTCCCTCTGCTTGGTTCCTCTCATGGGCTTGGGGCACTTAGCCCTCCCCCCTGAGCGAGGGGCCAGGGATCCCTACCAGATCTGTCTACCCCGGGGCTCTGTTTCTTTCTTCCTTCCTTGGCCTCTATCCTTTGCTGACTTCCTCTTCCTTACTCAGTGGGCCCCGGTTCCCTGGGAATTCACCCTAAGGTGGGGGCAGGGAAGAATGGTCTAGCCACTGTTCTTCCCAGGCCTTGGCAGCCTGGCCTAGGTGGGTGGACTATGGAAGGGACTGGTAGGAGCCCTCCTGGCTCTGGCTTTCCTCCCTTTGGTTAATAAACACAAATGCTTGCTTTTTCAAGGTTGGGTCACCGGACTCTTCTGTGTTCACAAGGGAAGGGGAGGGGAGAAGTCTTGGGGCGGGGCCTTCCAAACCTTGTAATTGTTTACCCCAGCAGCTAGTGGGGCATCAGGGAGGCTGGTGCACTGCCTTCAGAGAAGAAAAAGCTGGGTCCAGGCACTCAGTGAGTTGGGATAGAGCTGGGACTGGGACAGGGGCCTTCCCCTGGAGCAGGAAGGGGAACTGCCAGGCAAAGGCTAACATGGTGACGGACCCTCCCCATCACGGGTGTTCTGACTTCCCCCACTCCCTGCCCAGTTCCAAAGGGGGAAGGAAGCTCAGAGAGGGCAAGCCCTGAACTTGAGGTCACATAGGCCGTAGATTTGGAGGTTGGAAGTGGGAGTTCTTAGAGGAAGAGGGACTTGGGTGGACAGCACAAAACGAATGGACTAACATCCAACTCTGAGTGACCCTGGACCAGCCCAGTCTTCTTTGAGTTGAGGGAGAAGGGGAGGAAGCAGCTGGCACTGGGCTTTGAGGTCCCAGCTCCTTCCTGTCTCTCCAGGTTAGTTACCTGTCAGGAGACCACACTTTGGCTGGTGGAGCCGCCAGAGCTAGGGCTGAGGACACAGAGGATGAAAACACGGGTGGCCTCTGCCAGCTTTTGGGTGGGAGGGGGGAGGGGCTGGGTGGTGCTTCCTTTCACTCGGGCTGCCTGGGCTGCACCACTCTGAAACAGGAAGCGCTAATGGGGGCCCTAGTGACAGGTTTGATGTCGGTTTTATTTTAGGCATAAAGAGGAGATTTCCGTTGGGCTATTGACAAACTTCCAGGTCAGCCCAGCTGTCTGTCTGTCTCTCTGACAGTCTACCAGCCCCTGGGGGATTAGGCTCGGCCCAGCAGTTCAAGGAAACCAGGGGAAGTTGGTATGGAAGAGGATGTTGTTAGAGCCCATGAGAATGAGTCTTTCCCTGCATGATGCAGGTGAAGAACTGAGGCACAGGGAAGACGACCTGCCCACAGGTGCCCAGCAGGTGTGATTATGTAGGGGCTGGGCCTCATGGTCCCTATGTTAAAGGAGTGATGAGAGCAGATGGATGATCTGGGCAGGCTTCGCAGAGGTGGTATCTTTTGAGGGGTCAAAGGCGAGCACCTCTGGGCAACCTGGCCAGAATTTTGTGTGAATAGTTGCCTTTTCTGTGACCCAGCCCTCAGAAACACAAGAAGGTGAGTGTGTTGTCTGCATTTCACATGTGAAGAAATTGAGGCTGGGAGGGCCCTTGTTCCTGGAGGAGGCTTAAGTGCTGGGCTCAGACCCTTGACACTCGTCCTGTCACTAAATCCTCAAGATGGCCCTTCAGGGGTCACCTCAGAAGGTCATCTCTTGTCTTAGAGCAGGAGGGATGGTGGCTGGTGGGCTGCCTCAGACCAGGCCTGCACTCTGGCCTGTGGACACCCCACAGTCAGTGGCATCTGATGCTTTTGACACCTGCCTCACTTCTTCCCCATCCGGGCAGCTTTTCCTTCTGGTTACTTCAGTGAGCACCTACTGGGTGCCAAGCAGTGGGTAAGAGAGCCTTGGCCCCCCCCTTAATCTTGGGATGGAGAAGGAAGGGCAGCTAAACAGTAAGCACACAGTCATACAATGTGGAGCAGGTATGTTTAGGGACTTTTGCCTGAAGACCAGAGCTATTCCCAGGAGCTGGGCCGGTGGTAGCCTTGCAGGGCATTAGGAGAGTCTGTTGGGAAGAGAGCAGGAGGGATTCTTGGGAAGTGGGGAAGGTGCCTGTTTGAGCCTGGACTTCAGCAGCAGAGGTTTCCTAGTTGTGGAGGCTTCCCTCTGCCAGGAGTTTGGAGCCTACTACCCTCTCATGTAGGGCTCTGTGGAGACACAGCTGGGGCTCCTCCTGCTTCCCCCAACCAGCCCACCAGCCTTGCCAGCCTGCCTGCCTCAGGGTCTGCGGAAACAGCCCCTCTATTGTTCTGCCTCCAGTTGGAGTGTGAGGGGCAAGGAGCAGCAGCCGCTGCCTTTCAGCCTTTCAGCCCCTCCGAGGGCCTGCAGCTGCTGCCCCGTCCCCTGGGGCTGCCTGGCCCCCATCGCAGCTCCCCCAGGCCAGATTGGCCCAGCTGCCTAGCCCCTAATTAGGTAGAGATGAGATCTGCCCCCTGCTCTATTTCCCACCAGCTAATTATATACACGTGGGCTTGGGAGACTGGCAACTTGGCTGCTCACTTCTGTCAGGAAGGTGTGATGGGCCTCTGGGAAAGGCACCCAACGCCACCTGCCAGACTTCAGTTTACCCTCCTGGCAAGGGATGGGGTGGAGCTAGAGGGCCTTGTGACTGTCCCTGGTGAAATGGTTCTGGTTCTGCTACTGAGGCATTCGAGGGGACCAGGGGAATGATGACTGCATCCTGCCTGACAACAGAGGGAGTATGGAGGGACTGGAGGATCAGGCTACAGGATCCCAGGTAAGGTGGGGACATGGTAACAGCTGTCATACATACACATTGGAGGGCTTAGAGTTGTGTGGGTCCATCCAGGCCCAAGACAGAAGACCCCATTCAGGTTTTTAAAAGTTTAATATTATTTTTCAGATAATATATTCATATCCTTCCTCCAACATTTTATTAAGAAAAATTTCAAGCTAAAAGAAAATTTGTGCCCTGGCTGGCTTGGTTCAGTGGTTAGAGTGTCGGCCCTCAGACTGAAGGGTCCCGGGTTCGATGCTCGGTCAAGGACACATACCTCGGTGGATGTGTCTTTCTCACATTGATGTTCCTCTCTCTCTCTCTTCTTCTTTCTTCCTTCTCCCTGTCCTCCATTCTCTTTAAAAAAAAAATGGAAAAAATATCCTCAGGTGAGGATTTTTAAAAAAAGAACATTTGTAAGAATTATACAGTGAACACATATGCCTACCTACAGAGGCTCAATTCGTGATATTTTGCTAGATTTGCTTTAACAGGCATCTATCATTCTATCCATCTATTAAGACAGCTTATCTTGTTGAAGCTTTTCAAAGTAAGTTGCAAACACTAGTATGTTTCCCCTTAAAGGCACTTCAGCACGCATATCATTAGCTATAGTTCAAAATTATTTGTTTACAGTTCTTTTATCTTTGTTGGGGGAGGTAAGATTTACATACAGTGAAATGCACAGATCTTAAAGGTACCCTTTGCTGAGTTCAGATAAAAACATGCTGTATCCCAATCCCAATCAGGATACAGAGCAACACTATCAATGTGGAAAGTTCCCTCATGTTCCTTCCCTGCTAACCTCTGTCCCCACCTCATGGGTATATCAACGTGTCTGTATAAGTTGAATAGCACTAATACAAACCATTCTCTTGCCCTGTCCTTCTCACTCCCCGCCCACCTCTTCCAAGCAACCACATTCAATTCTTTTAACAATTTCTCCTGGTGCTTGCCTCTGTATTTCTAAGTGATATGCTTTTCCTTTTTTTTTTTAAATTAATTTTAGGCAAGTGTTGACCTCCTTTCTGGTCTGATGTCTTCATATATGCCTTCCGCAGCCTGACTGTCTGGCTGGCCATGACTTTGGGCCAATGACTTAACCTTCTTGTGCCTCAGTTTCCACATTTGTAAAATGAGAGCAATACGAATATTTAAGATGCTGGGTTGTTGTGAGGATTCAACATGTAAAGTGTCAAGAATAATGAACATTACCAAAAGAGTGGTCAAAACTGTTTCTTTTTATCATATCATTATTATTGTCAAGGAAGATTGAACTGTTCTCACCCTCCTCTCCTTTGGATCTATAGTTGTCACCATTTTCCATTAGATGAATACTGAGTGCTTTTTTATTATACCTGTATAAGAATGGTTTCCTGCTAAGCCAAATCACATGTTATGGTTACATTCCTTTCCTGTGAAGCTCTTTGTTGTTGCATTTTCCTGGAGTTACTACTACCTGCTTTGCTTTTCTTCCCTTAGTTTCCTTAATTCTCAGACATCCTCAATTTACACATAGAAGACAAATTATTGATTCTAATTTCTTTCCGGTAACCCTTCCAGGGCTTTTTAACAACCTTCACTTTTTAATAACAACAGTGGAACCAAGTTTACAAATAGCGTCTCAAGCACAGGGACAACTTGTAAGGTAAGTGTTTGGGAGCACCACTGTGTGTTCCTGCCCACATGGGTCCTACGAGGGCTGAGCACTGAAGCTGTGGCCCTGCTGCCAGGCCTCCCCATTTACCCAGGGGAACCCCTCAGCACCTCACCGGTCTGCTCACTGGTGCCATTCTATGGCTCATTCACTGCCCTTGACTTTATTCATCTGTTCATTCAACAAAAGTTTGCCGGGTCCTTCTCCATGCTCTGCACGGTGCCGGCCAGTGCTGAGGACACAGAGCTTGGGCAATATCCACCCTCCCACTCCCAGGTTGGCATTTACATTGACATGTGAGCAGGCAGGAGAATGGTCGGAAGAGGTGTGTGTGTATGTGACCCATGAGGGGTGTGGGAGCGTCTGTGTGGGTGCTGCTAGAGTTTCAATGGAAGGCCATCTGTGTACATTTATGTGCATATGCATATGTGTACAGGTGTTGTCTGCATAGTGTGTATTCTCAAGGTATATGGACCAGTTAGTTTTTGCTGCTTAAAATACCACCCTAAACCCAGTGGCCTAAGGTAATTTATTCTATGAATTGGCAATCTAGGCTCAGCTGGGTAGTTCTTCTGATCTTACCTAGGCTTACTCGTGTAGTTGCAGTCAATGGGGGTTGGGTGGTCTCGGAGGGCCTCCCCCACATGCCTGGCAGTTGGCAGGCTGTTCGGTGGGGTGCCTCAGTTCCCCTCGAGGAGGCTAGCTTGGGCTCATTCACATGGTAATCTCCGAGTTCCATGTTCAGCAAGAGAGGACCAGCTCCATTGCCTTTGATGGTGATTACAAATGTCCCAGACAACATGACATGGCCAGGTCAGATCCAAGGGATGGAGAAATAGTCTCCCTCTCTCAGTCATATTGCAAAAGGGCAGGAGTCCAGGCATAGAGGAATG